ATGATTCATTTTGAATAATAGTTTACAATTATTTGAACCTTCAATGTAAGTATATAGACATATTCTTAATTATTTTTGTTGCTTCATTAAATGAAAGAATATTTAAGTTCAAAAATGTGATCTTATGCATGGTTACGTGAAGTTTTTATTTTATTTAATTATATACAGAATATATTAATCACTAGATAGAACTAGAAAAATAAAAAAAAAACAAATCCTTTCTGTACTAAACTGACAATTTCCATTAGAATAATTATCAGTTAATAAAATAGCATTGACCTTAATCGAGAATAGTTATACGCAAACAGTTTCTCGTCGAACAGATTTCTGTGTAAATACAAGAGACCAGATTCAACTATATTTCATTTGACAATCTATAGGCCAAGAATAAAAATAGATAATAGCAATAGTGAAAAATAATAGACAAAGAAGAAAGGAAATAGCAATTTATTTTGATGTCAAGTTTTGATTCGATGACGGCAAGTTTTTCACAAACATAATTCATTTGTCCGGAATTGTTCACTAGCACTGTAGAATAATTTTATTACGAAGTCAATAGAAAGTTTCAAATTTCAGAAAAGAAATAATTAAAGATTCTTTGGAATTCCCCATGAGTCAGTAACATTATCTTTTATGTAAAGTCACGAAGAAGAAAGAACTAAAAAAACAACGTTCGTAATTAATTTTAGTGTGTTTGAGAATCTTGAAAACGAGCTTTTCCTTTTTTTTTAAAGATGTACCGAAAATTCATGCAGCACAGATTAATTAATAAATGATATTTTTTAAAATTTTTACCACCATGGGGAATAGAACGAGAAATGACATTAGCATGGTATCTGTTTTTTACAATTTTTTATAAAAGTAAGTGAATCATCGTTTACTAGACTAAATTCAGAAAGCATTGATAGTATTTTCATTTTTAATTTCAGCAAACAAAAACGTTCCGTTAACTTTAGTCACTATGTTCTTCCTATAAAACTGACAAAATTCCAATATATTGCATGTGATAATCATAATCAAAATTGTTTTTCAACCATAAAAAATAGTTTGAAATCATGATTAAATAAATAATAATGCCATAATAATCATTGAAAAAGTTTATTTTTATTCCGATATAAAAGTCATAAATGCCACCTTTCGTGTCATACTAATGAGTTTTTGAACGTAATTACAATAATTGCAGGTCATAGTGACAAGTTCCAAATGATTTCATTACTATCGAAATGGCATACACTACCTAAAAGGTACATCAAAAGAAAATACCATTAGATTGAAAGGATTAAATCAAGGTCGTAGTCAGGACGGAGGATGGGGGGGGGGGGTGGACATGGTGCTCGGGCACCGCTTTGACCAAGAAACATCTGTGGGGAAGGGGAGGAAGGGCTACGGGTGAAAAAATTTTCCGAGAAACAAATTTATTTTGCTGCTGATGTGCAGCCTCCATAATGAGTCAGATATCCCTTTTAGAAAATTTCTGGCTATACCACTGGATTAAATAGATGGTTAATATTATGAAATTGATTGTTGAAGCTATTTTTTTTTCTTTCTTCTCTCATAAAATATCAAGAAACTGTTAGTTCATCAATGGAATACATTGGCAAAGACATTTTTTTCGTCTATATATTCTGATACATCGAATCATCATTTCTAAGAAAGTAACGTTTGAATTGTTGGACATTAGCGTATGCAAATAAAGAAGTACCTATGAAAACACATTAGAAATGAGATTAAAATACTTAAAAACTAAAGGATAAAATTCTCTAAAGATTAGTTTTTTGTGATATTTTAATTAAATAAAAATGATATTTAAGAATAACTTTGAAACATTGATCGTCTGCTCTTTCTAGATAACAGTACAAGTCTATATGATTACAATAATAAGATAAAAGTATCGATAAAAATTGTACGTTTTTGGTCTTGAAAACCAATGCAGTTTCTTTTATGTAGACTAGATCAATGACAAGTTTAGAGCAAAAGTTCAGATTTAATGAACTAAAGAATTGCTGAAGACTCCTTTTCATCGGAAGTGAACCATAATATTCTTTATTCTTTTGTTATCGGGAACGAGTGTTGTTTTGACATATCAGTTAAATGAATTCTTTTCAGAGATTAATTTCTTTCAAAAAAACCTTTCAATAGTTCTTAAGGTTAAAAAAATACTGAATATTCATATTCTTAATTTAGATATCTCTATATAATGTTATTATTCTACTCAATAGTCATATATCTTTTCAGACGATAATTGATTTAATTATTGAGATATACAAAGAAAATGAGTAGGTTGGCAACATTTCACTAATACTAAGCTCTATTTAATTGTAGGACACACATGTTTTAAAAGTACTTTTTTCTCTCAGTAGTTATTGATATGACTTAAACACGGCATTTCTTATTTGTCTGTTAAAATAATAACGTAATTCTACTTTCTTGTCTTTCATTATAGATTAAAATAAAATCTTAATTGATCATGTCGTTGTCAATGAATAATAAGAACAATTATGATGATATTATAAAAGTTGCAATGATATCAATACTAGTTATTGTTTTAATCTGTGGTATTTGTGGTAAGAATAAATAAATTTTAAAAATACCTTATTTAAAAATAAATTCTAATAGGTAATGCTCTTGTACTTTTTGTTGGTATATGTAAACGAAATTATCAAAATAATGTTACTAATTGCTATATTATGAATTTAGCAATAACTGATCTTCTTTTTTTGCTTATTTCTGTACCATTAACTGGTTATTTGGCAATTAAAAATGTTTGGATTTTTGGTGAGTTTATATGTAAAATGCATATTTATCTAGCACATGTATGTAAATAGTTTATTGACAATTATTTTTTGATTGAAATAAGAATTTTAGGTTCTATTACAAGCAACTTGTTATACATTAGCTGCTATGAGTATCGATCGATATTTAAATATAGTTCATGAGCTATGGTATCGGCGATATCGAAAACCAAAATGTGCTCTAATTATATGTTTACTTATTTGGACAAGTAAGATGATAATAATGTTAAAATAAACCATAGAATATAAAGTTTCTATTGTATATTCTAAAGAAAAATATTTAGTTAATTGCTAATGCATAAAAATAAAATATTTTGATAAATTGATGTAATTTTTTAATTGTTATTTAATTTTCTAGTTTCCGGTGTTTTTATGTTTCCTTATGATTATTTATTACATATTAATGTTGAAAAAAATAATCAATCATCAGTTATGCTTGACTGTACTGTTAATAACGATTCTTTATATTCATCATGTTTATTTACATTTGTATTTTATTATTTATTACCTTTGTGTATTATTGGTCTATGCTATTCTCGTGTTTTAATGCATGTCAGACGTGGTAGTCATAAAATGGTTAAACTACTTGTAAGTTAAAACACATTTTCTTTTAGAATTATTCTATAATGAATAATTTTCTCATCATTAAAATTGAAACTTATTGATAATTCTCATAAAAACGAATTTATTCAATTACTTTCTGTTATGTCAAATTCATTCAGATTTTATTATCATTAATAATTACACTAAAAGGCAAAAAAATGAGTTTTATTAATTCTTTTCATTGTAGTATGGTAAACCTCGTCAATCAATAGAAATCAGAAGACGTCGGGTACAACGTACATTATTAGTTTTAACTCTAGCATTTGCACTTTGTTGGCTACCAATTCATATACTTGAATTATTCAATTGTTCACAACTTCTATCAGATGCATTTTATTTAAAACATGTACATATATTAACAGCTGCTCGAGTTATTGCTCATGGATTATCATATTTCAATTCATGTTTAAATCCTTTACTTTATGCTATATTTAATAAGGGTTATTTTTCTGGTGGCCTATAGAATATAAAAACAAGTAGAAACAAAATTATGTTGAATACATTAGAGTTGTTGTTTGCTTTGTTTGTCAATGATTAAACTACTCTTCTCGAAGCTTATGAAAAACAAACATTTCGTCGAGCCGAATTTATTGTTCTTGTTGAGTGTTTACGAAATGATAATGACCTAGAAAAAATTGAGAACATTTTTGAATTGTCACGGTCACCAGACTTAAAAATTTTATACAAAACTAAGGTTAATNTTGTTTTTCATAAGCTTCGAGAAGAGTAGTTTAATCATTGACAAACAAAGCAAACAACAACTCTAATGTATTCAACATAATTTTGTTTCTACTTGTTTTTATATTCTATAGGCCACCAGACTTAAAAATTTTATACAAAACTAAGGTTAATGTTTATGTGATATTATGCCAATAAAAAATATGCTGAGTAAAGATGACATATCGACCAACGCATATAGCTTTTGATATTAGCATCTGTTCGTATCTCTTTCGTACGATCGTGTTTATATAATCCTGTGATGCTCTACATGTTTTAAGCTACTCAATTGTCGATGATCTGTGCATTCTGCTTGTATCCTAAAGTGATACAGCTCGGGAAATTGTTGCTCATGATTCATATTATTCGTATTCATTGCTTTACATGCTTTATATTTGTCCTTGACAATAATTAATTTTTTTCATAAGCTGCTTGTAATCAGTGTTATGACCTTTTGGATTCTATCATTGTTAGAATGTCTAGAAAGCCCTAAAGAAATAATAAGAAAAATGCGCCTTGATATTCATATAAAGAATTTTTATGTATTGATAAATAAAAACTTAAATATATTAAACTATAAAAATCTTTTCAGTTCTTTACAGGACTAATTCTTAATGATCTTGTTTCATTCTAATGATATGCCAATTTTTAAAAGAAACCTATAATTTATCAATCTGTTGACTCGATAATCTGTAATATATGTATAAGTCACATACTTGCATTAAAAAATTAAATGAAAGACTAAAAAGAAACAACTTGTTCAAATGATTATTTTATATTTTCTCTATTATGTGATTTCTTAAATTTACAACAAAAACCTTGTTTTAATTTTCAATAACAAAAAGAAAAATCAAAATATTTGATTTAGCTAAATATATCTGAGGATATTTATTTAGAAAATTCATAATGTCCAATCTTTCGTATATTTGTTTCTGTTATTGTAAATGAATCAATATGCCAATGACTGCCAGCAACAGCAACTTTAATATCTTCATTTTCTTTTGTTGAATTTTTATTTATTGTTGTGGCAATCGTATAAATAGGCGATGGTGTTGTTGGACGACTTATTGTCATTGTTTGTTCATCACCATTCTTTGGTACGGAATATAATTTATTTGTATCTCCACCAACAAGTATGGTATCATCATCAACAGAACATAATGCTAATGAATAAATTGGTGTTGGAATAGAATTATAAACAAGTAATGGTTTTTGTTTTGTTGATGAACTTAACATAGCTAAATGCCAAAGTGATAATGGACAATCACCTCCAATGACAAGACGATCTGTAGCCATATCAAATGCACAACAACTTATCCATTTATTTGTTTCAATTGTATGAATTGGTTGATGTGATGATGATAAATCCCAAATTTTACATGTTCCTAAAAAAAAAGAAGCTTTGGAAATATTATTGTTCATAAGCAATTGATCAAAGAGATTATTTGAATGAAATTATTTTCAGATATGATTATCTTTTAAATTGAGATCATTTTGTTTAATAGTAAAAATTAAACGATTGAAGTTTATTCATATCGGATAGATTAGTTCTAATTAAAAGTCAAAAAGTTCAGTCCTAGTTCAGATCTTAAGAACTGATCCATCCGAATAATTTTCATTTTATTTTGAAAAAGACACTTTCCAGTATAAAAAAAACTTTTGCTCGATTACTGTAAAATGCCTTTTCCAAAGTAGAACAAAATTTTTCGGAGAGTTCACGAAGGAATCTCTTCAGATGTAAAATTGCATTTCAACCAAGATGATGTTCATTTGATGAATATTAGGGAGTAATAGAAAAATCTACAATGGTTTGGTTTATCGAACCTTCGCTCTCGAGATATCGAAATTTTACTGCATTTTTCAACAAAAAGCAATGATACCCCCATGTCACAAGAAAAGTCGACTTTCTAATTTCGACTTCAAGCTTAGCATGAACAAAGTTCTTCATGAGATTAGTTGATTGTGTGTTAGTATTTCCTTTCTGCAGATGTAAATATGTGAACAAAATTTGCTTTTACACATGAGAGAATTTAGAATATTGAATATCACAGGATAGGAGATACTAAAAAAATTGCAACTTCTGCAATAAATTGATCTCATTGAAAACTTTGTTCGTAAAAAGTTTGAAGTCGAAACTCGAACGTTGATTTTTCACGTAACCTGAGAAGTACCAAAGCTTATTGTTGAAAAATCTAGTCAAATTTCGATATTTTAAGAACGAAGGCCTGAAAAAATCAAACCATAATAGACTTTTCTATTATTCACTAGTATTCATCAGATGAACATCATCATAACCGAAAAGCAATCTGACACCTGAAAAGATTTCCTCGTCAATAAGCTAGGAACTGGACTGTTTGAACAGTTCTTTCGCTTATTTGATCGGAACCTTGAACTGAGAGCTGGTCGACTTCGGGTTCTAAGGAGAGAGCTATCCAACATATATATATATATATATATATCTGTTCTTATAGTACTTTTTACACTTTTAAATGTTTTTTTTTATTTACTAGATAATAGAAAGATGCAGGGTAAGCTTTTTACATACCGTACACCTAGACTGAGATGAATTTTATAATGCTTTCTGACCCTAATCTGCAGGGTAGGGTATCCCTGTACATCTCTATTAAACAAAAGGATATGTTACTGTAGAAGTTTTATATGAATGATTGTTTGATATCAAAAGTTTTGAAAATGTTTTAATTTCATTTAATCCATATAAATTTAATAACAATTTTAATTATTTGTTGCTGAAATTATTAATCGAATTAGAAAACATCTAAGATAACTTACTTTTGATTTAGTATATAAAAGTAAACATAAATTTAGACCCAAAAAAGACATTATGTTCTTTAATTTATACAATAAAAAAGAAAATTTCTAATAAACATACCATCTTCTGAACAAGATGCAACACGTTTTCCATCGTTAGCAAACGCTACTTGATGTATCACTCCTTTATGAGCAGCATCAATTGTTGTTACTAATGTTTGTCGTTCAATATTTAATACTCTTAATGTTCCAATACTTGATCCAATAATAATTTCATCGGTTTTTTGAAATTGTTTTTTTGATGGTGCTTGAACACAAGCAAATATTTCATTTGGTCCTCGTGCAAGATCAAATGAAAATGCATCTGATGGTAATTGTTGTGTTTTTTTATTTGACATTATGTCCGACCAACGATAACCTTGTACAAGTCCATTATGAATACTACCACCAACAACAATTAAAATTTCACTAACGGATGATGCAAGTGAAACACTATTATTATTACTATTATTATTAGTCCGAGAATTTATTTGTGAATGATGTGTATTAGGTAGAGTTGTTAGAAATATTGGTTTTGTTGATATTTGAGGTGAAGAATAAAATAATCCTAAACGACCTTGATCATCTCCTGCAATTAAACGTGTATTATCTGGCGAATAAACAGCCGACATAACACAAGTATTCATTCGATCAATATTTGTATTATATGAATCAAGATAAGCACTTGTTAAAGGCATGTTCTTTTTTTTTTTGTATAATACAAATTTAATCTAAAAAAAACTTGATCGAGTTAAAATCATTAAAAAAAATAAATTTATTATTATTATTATTATTATTATTTGTCTATACATTATTTCATATTTTGACGGATAAATGTAAAAAAATGACGATGTGCATCGTTCTTGGAAAATTTACTAGCAATTGTTCCATGTGTTGTCATACCACCAATAATATGATATTCAACTTGATGATTATATTGACGAAGTTTTTCAACAAAACGTCTTGCATCAACTTCTAAACCCATATCAAATCGAGCAGACATAACAAGAAATGGTGGTAATTCAGTATCTTCTTTTATATATTCAATTGGTGAATATTCAACCATTGTTTTTCCTTCCGGATAAAGTAAATTACTTGAATATAGTATACGAAATATTAAATTACGAATATTATGTTGTGAATCATGTGTTGGATTTGATAATGTATAAATTCCACTCATTGTTATAACACCACGAATTGATGATAATGGAAATTCATGGCGTTCAAAATGAGATTTATCAAGTATAAGTAAACTTATTAAATGTGCACCGGCAGAATGACCCGATAGAAATATTTGACTAGGATCAGCTTGTGGACAGTGTTCATGAATATGATCTCTAATATAAACTAATGCACGACATATATCATCAGCCATCTAAATCAAAGCAAAAAAAAAGTTCTACTTTTAAAAAGAGATTTTCAATTCTACAATTTTTTTAAAAACTTACATGATCCAGATTAACTGGTATTCGTACTTGATATAAAAAATTATAAGCAAAAGCAGCAGACATAAAAATAATATAGCCTGTTATAAGTTGCCATGAAAGTAGAACAAGTGAAATAATCATTATAATTAAACCAAAAATGAATGACCAAGTTGCAAATGAAACAAGAGATGTACGTGCTAAACGATAGGATGGAATAACACCAACAAAACCTTCTTTTGCACATGTTCGACCAACAGTTGGACCGCCACGCCATTTATTTTTACGACTACCACGAACCCAACCACCACCATGTATATGCAATATAATTGGTATTTTCTTTTGAGGTTCTTCTTCATCAGACGATAATAATGAATTTTTAGATAGAGCAGGACGAAATATATCTAATTTATGATTAACATGAGCCTCTGAACCAGAAAAATAAGCAACATTACGAACGATTAAAGATGGATCATAATTTGATGTTAGACGCAAATGACGAGCTAAATAAGATAGAATTGACATCTAAAGTGAAAATAAAACAAAAAAGAACCAAACCAATTCATTATTTATCATACTATGAGTTTAACGATAATAATTTATCATTCAAATAATTCTTTAATTTTTAAAGAAAGTTAAAAATTTCTATAAACATCAAATTTTCTATTAAGACTCTATTCGATCTAAAAAAACAATTTTATATCTATATGAATAATTTTCACTCGTTCCAAAAATATTGAACCTTTTAAAACGTAACAAAAATTAAAACCAATGTACTGCAAATCATTGATCAAGTTACAACAACATATTGTCATATCTTTGATACTATTATTATCATCTAAATATAAAACGTTATTTACTGAACACTCTATAAAAAAAAAAAGCAAAAAGAAAAGATTCAATTTTCATAGAATATACTGCATATATCAATTATAACTTATATTAAAAAAGTAACAGATATTGACATACACAGATATAGCAATCATAATAATTATAATGTTTATTATTTTATTTGTCAAAATATTTAAATGCTGGATTAATCGCGTTTAGCTTTTGAATAAAGTTTTGGTGCATCAACTAATTCTTGTCCCCAAAATATTGTTATCGCTAATGTTGATATGGTTGCTGCACCCCAAAATAAAACATAAGTGATTTGTTCACGAAATGATGAAGCTGGTATTAATAAATTAATAATACACATTGAAAAAGCAAGAAACATTGTTATTGGTAATGCCAAAAATTTTTTACTTAATTCTTTACTTATTGGACATGATTCAGGTGTACGACCTTCATCGGATGATACACGATAATTACCCAAAAAGAGATCAATACCATCCTGTTAATAAACAAAGAAAAAGATAATTTAGGAAAATTTTTGAATAAAATAATAAATAAAATTTTTCTTACTTGTCGAAAACCATCAAAAAAATTATTTAATACATAACGCATACAGGAATTATAACCATCTTTAAACAAACCCATTGCAGACCGTTGACCCGTCCTAAACAATAATAGGCAAATTTTCATATAGATTTCTTTGTTAACAAATTGGAAAATGAACGGGATTTATCTAACCTTAACATGATCACCTTTAGGAATACTACTTGTTATCCTTGCGAACCTTTCGAATTGATAAAATAAATATAATATACAAAGTTATAACTAGTTTATCATGAACATATGAAGACTCTATCATAACAGAAACAACTCCGCATGATTGATTGATGTTATATCAGTATATACTGTACTAGATGTTCCCAATACACACCTAAAAGATTATGGTTCGATAACTTGCTATGAATGCATTACATTACAATGAATCTTATTGGGATCCAGACGAACCCTAAGTAGTTAACAAGCGTTTCACATGCACTTCTCGATAGTCTATTCGAATAAATCATATTTGAATACTATTATAAGATATTATCGATATATCTTCTAATAGTATGATTAAACTAGTTCAGGTCTGCACTGATCATAGACAGTTGTATCAAGATTAAACTATCGCATTTTTTTAGATTTGTCTGTCAATAGCATATAATATATTTTAACAGTATTACAAAAAGAGTCATAGTTCTGAAGAATCAACTCTTATCTTTAGTGAGAGAACCTATCTTGAGTCTAGTTTCTTTTGTTTAATGATAAAATTAATAACGACATTTATAGAAAAATAAATCCTCGAAACTATTAAACAAACCTTGTATAATCCGTTTTCAATGCACCAGTTCCAGCATATTGAAGACTAATAATATCAGCATTATCAGCCCAAACTAAATGAAAAATAAAATAAATTTATTTTTAAAATCGCTAGAAATATATGTCAACTTACTATTTTTAAACACATTGCTTAATTGTTTATAGGAATCAATTGTTTCACGATATTTTATAACATCATAACGTTGTAATTGTTCTTCTAAAATTCTTTTAGCAAATAAACTTTGAACAACATTTGTTCGATCAAGACAATCAATACAATTTGTACGAAATACCCCAGTTTGTTGACAATGTAATATACCATTTTTAGTTACGGCAAAATAACTGTACTAGAGCAATTTATATGTATTTAAAAACAAAAACTCTTATCTATACAGTACCTATAATCATCTTGGTCAGCTATGACACGAGCTAAAAGTATTGTTAAACGATCGTAACGCATGCCAGCACATTCTTTATGAAAATCAAAATCTTCAAATCTAATTGAACAAAACAAAAAAAGTAATATTTAGAAATTAAGAAAGAAAAATTTTTTTTTTCTCACTTAAGATACTTATTTTGACTTGCTTCATATAATTCACGATATTTGGCATTTAATTTTCCTTCAGCACCATGATGATTTGTCTGAATAATTAAGAAATATTTATATGAAAACTTCTTTGAAGTTTACATACAAGACTAACAAGAAATTGTTTGCCATAATAATATTCTTGTTCTTCAAAATGTTGTCGAAAGGCAATCATCTGAAATAAATTAACATTTTTATTGTCAATCATTTTAATTGAAAAATGAAAACACAATTTTCTCTTACATGATTATTCGATGGTAAGACTGTTACTTTTGGTTTGTAATGAAGATCAGGTAATTGTGTCCAATAACAAGGCACTGATCCACGTATCTAGAAAGAAAATAATTAATTTTGAGTCATTTTTATGCTAAATTTGATCCTATTCCTTTTTGTCTGAAATCGAAAGAAGTTATAAATTTTTAATTTCAATAAAGACTTGTGACTATGATCGATACGCTCAGAAGATAATAAAATAAATATAATAGGATTTATCAAAACTAAAAACTTCATGTTCTACCATCTCGACAGAAGAGAATCATTGATTTGATGATTTTCATAATTTAATTAAATAGAAGCAGTCAGTCAGAATAAAGTCATTTTTAATTCATTTATGAAAATATTTGCATCTTCCCTAGACTGTAAGGATAGGGTCTAGCAACGGAAATTCATCTGCTTCTGTCTATCTGTAACATAGTTACCACATGATTATTATGTGACAAATGACAGTCTGATAGCTATAGTAACAATTGTACAAATGACTGTGTAAGATACAGAAAAAAAGGACACATGCATTCGAATTCAAATTAATCGAAGAATAACAACCCAGGATTAAGAATAGAAAATCGGTATAAACTCCATCTTTCTCCATATCGTCTACAGTAAGACATCGAGTAAAACGTAAATCTTATACGAACTTTGTAAGCAATCGTATTTTTCGTTTTTACATGCAAAGAAATACGATCGTAATACTGAATCATGTCATGCGTCAATTCAGGACTATTGATGGTCGGTTACGGAATGTGCTTGTTTGACCTCGGATACCTTTAAAAGTGACGAATGTTTTGATCGATTATTCAATGCTGTATACATCAGGGTGTCATGTAATTGTTATTAAGAGGTACCGAGTGATTCTGAATATATGATTATAAGAAATTAAAATCCAACTATTTGAATAATGTGATATTCATGTTTTTAATAGAAATAACGCTAATATAAGCAATTGTATTGATTTTTATATGATATTTATAAATCGGTATGTTTTATTGCAAACATAAATAGGACATAAGAAAAATGCAAATGATGAAAAATCAGAACTTTTTCAAATTCATACTTTTTTATTTCAGAAATATTCAAACTTCGAATATAAAAACTTTCAAAAATCAATATACTACTCTTTATGATCGTATATCATTGATAGAAATATACTATGATTCAAGTATAACATATTTAAACGTCGATTTTTTTCTTTATCAGCATACAAATTTGAATTCTA